AACATAGTCAAACATTGCATTCACAATGGGTATTCAAGTGCGTTTGTAACCCAAATTTACGTCAAGGGTCTGGGTGAAAATAAGTTTCTGTAGCATGTGCTACACAAAGTTTCCTCCCCATGTTGCTGATATCCCAACCAGGACTCAGTGGTCGAATCAGCGATTCGCGACACATCAATCCCTGATCTGGTTGATCATCATGATCATCCCACAAAGGGGTTGGTTTACGCTTCAAGATGGCGTAAATCAAACCATCATTTACTGCCATGATTTATACATTTCAATATCCCAATGATTGAATTCTCAATTTTGTTCATCCAAGTGATGGGTCATTGGGGTCACCCGATCTTATCCCATGTAACGTGAAATAACGTGAACATGTCTACTCCAATGATAGTAATGATTCCACATGGTACTCCGGATTCCAAATCCCACCCCAAAATGGTGATCCAAACCACGACTTCGGTTGGCTTCGGTTCCTTCCGGCGTCGCTTCCGGCGTCGCCATTGGTGGTGCAGTGTCCACCTGGGCACAGCCGTGGCGCAAACAGAAACTCCAGCGCCACGGCCTTTCTCAAGCCATGAACCCTATGAAAACACACATTTTCTGCCAAATTTCGTTCTCAAAATCCAAATGTTCAGATTCTGTTCAGATTCTGTTCTAAGCGTTTTCCAATCCCAAATTGACCCACCATCAGAGCCCCCATCCCCTAAGCTTTCCACCATCCTCTCCGTCTCTGTGGTCCCATCGGCGAGAAGCTCTGCGTCATCGGCTGTCTCGGGGTGGCTGGCAGTCTCCGTCTCGCCGTCCTCTGGGTCTACGATGGTAGAACCGGGTAGAAACTGCAACAGTTCAACAACCATGAAAATATGCAGGAACTGTCAGGAACTCATGAATAATTACAGTAATGGGAAATGATTGTACTGTATGGTGGTTTGAAACTTTCAGAAAAAAAACATGGTCCAACATGGTCCAACCAACTAGCAGGACAAAGGTGGACGCTGGGCAAGTGGTGACAATCCGTTAGTTCCGTCGGTTGCCATAGAAGAATGTGGCCCACCCGATCCGTGGATCACTTAGAACCACCATATATTGGGATTTACGGTTATCAATTGAAAAGACAACGGCAGGTTTCCACGTTGAATCACTTAGTATGGAGGACCTAAACCATCAACAGAGTTCAGCCCCACCTGGGATGGCTGTGGATGACTGATGGCTATGGATGGCAGTACCAGGATGCCCCTCCAATTGTGGATTTGGATCTTAAAGTTTGACCCAAAACGGCATGATCCATTTGGTATCTTTGGTCACTGTCACGGGACCTTTCGTCCAAATTCCCAGCAGCCTAGCATTCCTTTCGGAACTATAGTCACACACTAGGCTTTTGGTTGGAACCATGAAGATGACGACCATTGTCATTACTATTGTCATTACTATTGTCATTACTATTGTAATGACTACCGATAATGATCATGATGACGAACTGAATAACAATCACACACATTCACGTGTGCATATAGCTATATATAATATACATAGAAGCATGTATAAACAATTATAAACATATATTGTTACATGCGTAAATGAACCTCCACCGATCCCTCTTGAGGCAACAGAAGTACGCTTCAAACCGCACGTCCTCTGTGGACGTGGAACTTGACTCCAAACAGCCTCCCGGAATTGGAATCATGCACAACCGTGGCACAACCATGCAATGGATCAGCTAATGGGAAGAGCCCCAGCTCTCAGTACTTGGCTACATGTGTACCCATGTAAGTCTCTCAAGCGAATTATATAATGTTGGATGTGATAGGCAAGGATAGGTAGATGGTAGAATTAAGGCTCAATAATGAGTGGCGAAGATTCAGTCAGATATCTGAAGACTCGCCGCATCTCAGCTGGGACCCGAGCCCGAGCCTGTCGGCAAATCTTTCAACTCCTTCACCCTGCGGTTGATCCCACGGAGAAAACCGAGCCCCTGCTATGATTCCATGGGCAGGACATTTTTTCTGATCGTAACCTTTCCGTTTTGGGAGCCCTTTTTCCCTACTATGGAGGCTTGTGCATTAACCATCGAAGAATTAGCAAGAGTCAGGAATCTGAAGCATGGTAATAGACCCCTCCGTGAATCGCTGTGATGCACCACAATTCATCGCTACAAATGGTCACTGGGTGTCATGTCCAGTAGATTGTGTGACCCTTTAAGGACCTCAATTTTTCAGTTTTATTTCACGTCATGGCCCTGTTGCCGTCAAGTCATCATGTCTGCCAGCACTCTGGGACACATCCAAGTAGCGTTGTCAGCGAATGATGGCCTTCGGCACTCCTCGGGGGTGAGGAAACGGCGCTTTCGCCACTAGCATCTGACACCCAGCTAGATGTTGCTTCTGGGGCGTTGCCCATGGGCGAACTATAGTGCCCACCCGTAGCAACCCCAAAAAACATAGACTTTGACAGTTTCCAGTCCTCAAATGCCCGCAACATCTACTTGAAAATTGGCCTCAAGCTGTCCAGTCATCCCAAAACTTCTATATAACATCCTTTAGTAAGTCTTCAATTGACTCTTCAAAAAAATATCTCAAGATCCAAAAACATCATGATTCATATTATCTGGTTTCATGATGTTTTATGATCTTCACCCGTCCAAAAACTTCAGGCAACACATGAACTCTGCCCAGCATCGACGGCGTCGCGGACGCTGGCGCTGGCGCCATGTGAATTCTCTCGGCTGCTGGGGCCCCCTGGGGCTTCTCCGAAAGAATCGCCAGGCGGGTTCGTAGCAGCTCCAACTCTCCGACCTGGTCAAAAACTGGGAGTTTGAGCTGCAAAAATCAGGGCTCAATGTTGAGCAGCAAAGGTGGGGGGGTTGAAAACCAACAAAAACCATGGGATTTTTCAATTTCCGACAAACATGAGTTTGATTTGGGATTTCGGCATTTATGATTGAAGAAAAAGGTGCAACAACTGGAATGTGATAAATCTGAATAATGAAACTTGTGCTCATCAAAAGATGTGGCCCAAATGGGGCAATAAGGAATGCATTTAAATAGTTTCAAAAGGAGGGTATTACCATGTATTACCAGTATACACCAGTATACAGATGATTTCTCTCAGTTTTATCGCAGATGATCCATAGCTACAATGGTGATCTAAACTCAAATTCCGATAAGTGATGGTCAAGTTAACCGAATGAACAAATCGGAAACTTGTTAACACCTCCCTTTTGTTGGCCAACGACGCTGACCCACCGCCCGATGCAGTGGTGCCTTCTCCCGAAGAAGGTCGTTCTCCTGGTGGAACTTCTGGGGCTTGTAAAATATTGCGAAGTCAATAGAAATACAAACAACTCCATGCTGTCAAATGTTCAATTTAAGCATAGCCAAATCCAAAAATCATGGGATGCTTTAAGTTTTGCTTATAGGGCTTGTGGGTATACTACACTATCCCGTTTGAGGGCACTATTGTTGACGATTCACTTTTCCATATTCAGTTGGTTAAGCTTCCATTTTCCCAGGTAAATTCTCCTAAATCTTGTCTTTTTCTTGGTGAAACCATGTTTAAATCCACATTTGTCGTTACTTCTTATCAAACCACCATAAACTATAAACCACCCAAAACCACCCATCATCCATGCACATGTTTTATAAATTTCAGGCGTTCATGGTGAATTTCTCCCATCCACCATTCACCGTCCGTAGCCGTAGCTCCTTCATGGCCTTGGCCAGCCGTGTTCGCAACATGAACAGCGCGCCCAGCTGCGTTCGTTGTGGCGCGTCGCCTTCACCCCCTCAGAAACGGATGGAGACTTAAAAACTTTGTATCCAAAACATGGATATTTAGCAACTATTTAACCAATAAACATATGATGTAAGCAACAACATAGGGGAGTTGAACCAACAAAAACATGTGAAGGTAACCAAGCAAACTGGTGGTATATGGTGTTTGAACTGTCAACAAACAGTGGGAATTGCATCAAATCATGAGAACCATCAACACTTAAGTACTGAACTTCTAACAACAGAAATGCGTGTGTTTAAATACACGGATTAACGAAAGCACAAGTTACCAAAGAAAAAAATGCAATTCACCAATTGGTCTTGGTGGTGGCATCGTACTGTAAGACAACAACTTAACAAGCGCCTCGTGAAGAGAAACAAACAACATTCTTTGTTGGATCTTCTCTTTTCATACTTCCAATCTAGGTTGTTGCACTCACAACGATTCACACAATCTATCCTGTAGAGTAGAATGACTTCGTTTCAAAACTACTTTGCTTGGTGGTCTCTTTTGAAAAGACCCGTCTTGCGCTATCTCTCAATAATTGTGCAGTAATTGTGGTTGAAAATCCTGTGAAAATCCCATGTCGCCAATGCAGAATCCACTGGATCCACATTCGTACGCTCAGTTCTCACCTGGTGGATCGGCCTCGCCGTGCTCAGTTGGAGGCCTGAGATCCAGTGATGACACCGGTGGAACAAAAACTTTGGTCAGAAATGGGATGCATTGAATCAAAAGAGGGATGTAACTCATCTTGGGATATGACCCATCATATACTGGGTAAACGCTTACAATATACCCCTTCATAATGTACATACACTGTCAGATAGTTGCTGCCGCTGAGATCAGAATCTGATTGGTTGAGACACCCATTGTCCAATGCCGCTTCATCTCCACAGGCCATAGCTGCACATGGGATGCGGACTAAGATGGACTGTAATACGACTTAAGTAGTAAAACTATGTGAAACTGGAGTATGATTTATATAAATAGATCTCACAGAAATTTTAGTGGCCCACTTACCATCCAAACTTTGAGTACATAAATAGATCCGAATAAATACAAATCATCTGGATAAAATATGATAAGATACAGTGCAATATTGTGCAATATATGATTCACCAACCTGAACAATTGGGAATTGCTGACGATTCCCCGCAGTCTAACCATCAATCCAGTGACCTCGTATAACACCGCTTTCAATTTAACACCATTGATCCAACATGATCCAACTAATTACTGTAATATGAACGCAAGACACACCTCCCATCCGGTCCTGTCCCATGGCCCCGGTCCCATGGCCGATTTTGGACCCTCGCCATCTGCGCTGCCCATCAGTCTGAGGCCGCAAATCATTTGCCTTGAGGCCTGGCTTTTTTGCGCCCAAAGAGATGCCAGTTCCGTTGTGGAACCATGGCTGAACTATGGACTAGAACAATCATGATATATATATATAAGTTATGTATATATATATAGATATTATATGTATTATATATAATTGCATATACATGAGATATACATATTAATTACTATTCATGTAGTGTATATCTAATCATACATTCCTCCATGACGGCAGCTCAAAATCAACCCAAAAACCTACGGAACCAGGGTAAACACCTCATGCTGACCTGGTTGCTTCCTTCCCAAGGGCACCACGGTAATTCCCGCAAAGGAAATCTGGGCCGAATGACGTTGAATGTACATGAATGTACTAGATCGAATCATTTCGGGGTCCCATTTCTTGAAGAATTGTCATTGAAATGATCGGAGGAATTGTTGAAGTTGTTGAACTTATAAGTTGAACATTGAACATAGGCATTAACCATGCTAAAGCTGCAAAAACCGAGGCATATCTCCGAGGGCACGAGGCTTCAAGCTTCAAGTTTGCTGCCAAACGGCTATGCCAAACGATGGTCAAACACTTCTGGTTTGTACTGAGCTGGGGGTGCAAACTGCACACCTCCCGTCATGAAAGAACAAGCTCAGGTCATGCAGCGTACCACGTCCTGTGGCCATGAGAATCCAAGGAAAATCATCACCAGTTTTTGGGTTATTTAAATGGTTTTAAATGCATTTAATGAAATGATCAACTTGTCGTACTGAAAAAGATCACCGAAGATCAGTGAGCAGATATCACTTGGGACCATCCATAAGGACCCAGTCGTGATATCTGAACTAACCTCCAGTAATCAAACATGGTTATTATATGGTTATTATATGGTTATATTACTGTAACTGTGATATCTGAACTAACCAAAATTTCACCATTTATAATTGATGTCCCAAAAAAACAAACTTCATCGAGGATTTTCCATTGCCTCGTTTGATTTGAAATGAGATATCTAAGATATTCTAAGATATTAATTTTCGTGCTACATACCCGCACACACCAATTATTTTATCATCATTCCCAATGATTTCCGGAGCGAATATCCACCCAACTATTGATGATCTATCCCATGACTGAACCCAAACGAGCTAATTATATAAATTGTATATACTGAATATGTACATCCATCATAGCCATGTTGGTCATCCACTATATCCATAGCTGGTATCATATGACTATACTCCAAGAATTGGCTGATTTCGAAAAGAATTCAGCCACAATTTTCATGGTCTTCATGGTCAAACATGGTAAAACGTCAGGTTTGCCTGTAACTTTCCCTTAAACCAACCCGCTTTGATCAGCGGTCGCAGGAGTCGCACGGCCGCAGGACGTGGCACGGCACTTGGCGTTCGGAAACAAATCATCGGACGTTGAACACACTGCACCAAAAGGTGGGGGGGCAGCCGTGGATATCCAACCAGTGGACATGTACATACTACATATGTTTATCAACATCTGATACTATACTGGTGTAATTATGAGATATGCATAGAATTCTGTATACACCAAACAATAAGTGGAATAAGTGGGGTATATGACGGGAATGTGATGGGTACTGTATATCATGTGTATTATCAAATACGTGGATAGTTTAGGATAACCCCAAAGCTGAATTCCTTTCGTGATGGTTGCCTAATTGCCATCACAAGGATGGAGGGTGGATGATATACATATATACATACATATATAAATATATATATATATATACACTACCTTGACCTTTTTTTTAATTCTCCTCCAACGATGCCAAGGTACATCATAGCAAAGCATAGTTTATTGCAAAACAATCCAAAACACATGGATTTACATGTACACCCAACAAGAATAGTGTGATAGCCAATAATAGCGACTGTTCAGTAGCGGGTGATTATTTAACATGGCGTCGCTCAAAAACAGGATTGATCCTGAGCATGATTCAAATTTTGGGATGAAATACAGTAAATGCCTCAAAACATCGCAAAAATACAAAGCAACATACACGTCTCTACATGTAGCTGGGCATTTTTCAAAATTGGCATACCCCATCCAATATGATAATTTCGGCATGATTTTGGGGGCATAAGCAAAAGGTGTTATGTGGAGCCACCCTTCAATTCATCAAGCGTTTTTCAAGTGTATGAATATGGTAATGTCTTCATTGAAGACCTTGTTGAGACCTTGTTTGGGGGGGTGAACCCCGTTTACCAGCTATTTTGGTGTTCACACGGGTACCCATATAATAAGCACAGAGGGTCCCCTGGGATCAAGAGGATCTGAATGATTGGAGTCCTTAAAGTAGCCAAGGGATCCAAGGGTCAAGGAAAGGGTTGATGAATCATAACACCTCGCAACTTTCAGCTGGAGACGAGGAGATGCACAGGTCCCCCATTTTGGAAACCCCAGATTGAGAATATGCATTTAACCAAAAAGAAGCGGACCCAATATTTTTTGGGACATTCGCCAGGAAGGTAGGCAATATTCTGCAGATATTCCGGTTTAAACGGAAGTAATACATGAGTTAGTGCAAGGTACCATGTAGAAGAACCGTTGTGAAAAATAGGCGTTACCTCTCTGTTTTTCGTCATCAATTAAACACTGGAAAAATGCATCTTTCGCATTCTTTCTTATTCAACCATCCAATTCTTGGATTAATAACAATGTTGAAATATGTGTTCCATGGTCAAAACATGTCAAAACATAGTACTGCATCTGGTATGGTCCTCGATCCCATAACAAAAGATCGTTTGCGATTTTGGGCATATAATCCGACTTTTGATTCGGACTCTGGTGGTGGGGGTCAGTGCATTTGAAACTATGGTGACTGAATATCGTGAAGGTCCAGAGAAGACCGGGGCCAACAATCGGAGCGCCCCAAGAGTTGGTATACGATAAGAACATTCATCATGCACATAATTGCAGTGTTGCAAGATTTAATCCAAAGGGAAGTGGAAAACAAAACAGAACTTTTGACCATGACCAACATAATTTTCAATCATTTGGAGCTAGAGGCAAAGCCCCCTCTATAAACCCACCCCTCCATGCATTGACTCTGCCTCTCAGGCTGCAGTTGTCCATAGGGCACGTATTGTACGAAGCCCGAGACGAGACTTGGCCTTCAAGACCACCACGGCCTTCAACCAATTTGGATAATTCAGCCTGAAATAAGGCTCAACATCTCCCAACATCTCCCAACTATTGGATGGTTACCTACGGTTACCTTCACAAGCATCATTCCAGTGACGTTGCAGTAAGATGCAGTAAGGTCGTTATAGAGTTTATCCAGTGCGATACCCAAGAGTTTGACACCACAGTTGAGGGCACGAAATCAACATCAGTAGCATACTGGCCATACTGGTACATTTACATGACTAGCTGGCTGATTGAGGTAAATGGAAGCAATTCTGCTGTGGATTCTTGGCACAATTCTTGTCGGGTGTGAAAGCGCCAACTCGCATATCCATGCACTCTGACTGAAATGGCCAAAGCTTGGTGATCGTGACGGAGTTTTGTTCAGATCATCCAAGAATGGATGTGTTTACCAAGAACTGTGATAGACCTCAAACATACTCAAACATGCAATTTTGATTCGAACATGATGGTAATCGGTTGGATTTGGGGCGCCCCCATATTTTTTTGACAAAGGGGATGATATGTGGATGTGGGGTGGGATGATTGAATATGTTGAATGTGAATTTCCTCACATGATCAAACATGTTGGTTCCAAGTTTGCTGGTCGCGATCACCGATTCACAAGCTCATCTAAGAAGCTTCTCAAGTGAATCCAGGGAAATTGGCCACATTTGCAGCGGAAAATCAACCATGGATCCATAGAAGATCATAGATCTAGACTATCCCAAACCTGGGACCCCCAAATTCATCACGTCATGCGAGTCATTCCCCCTCAAAATGGATCATCCAAGGGGAAATCTCTAAGGGTCCCAGGATCAGGCCGACGAATTTTCAAAGCAATCGGTCTGGTGGTCTCTCTAGGTCTCAATTTCTTGTTGCCAAACCGAAGGTTTTGACGGGTACCGAAATCTGCTCAAATGTCTATTGGAAAAACAACATTTTTTGGCCAATTCACTATTTTGTTTCTTTTTTGGGTGGATAAAATCAGTCACTTTCAGATAACCAGCGTCCGCACATGTCAAAGGCAAGACCAGGAAACTTCTCTGCAAACATCCCCACTATTGATGATCAGATCATGATAGATAATGTAAATTATCCATTTAGATAATTTTTCATTTTGGATAATTTTGGATGGCAAAATCTGCAAGTTCCGGTGTGTATGTGTGATTTGTTTAATTCTCTCCCAAAATATCCCCAAATAATGTTTTAACATGTTTGAACCATGCCCGCTCATCTTCTCAGTGGACTGAATCAAGTTTGGGACATGGCATCGGTTTCACACTCAGTTTACTTCATTTTTGTGCCGAGAAATGACCATTGAAAGTTGCTACCATGCACAGCTTCAGGTGGTTAATTTGCTGTTCAACACAAAAGCATACAGCATGGTCTGAATTCAAGTGTATCACCAGACTCACCAGATCCACTATGCTGCTGGTGCAGTGCCGCGCTCTCCTATCTAAGTTGGATATCTAGTCGCATCCCTTGCCTCCCACCCAAGGCATACATGCAGTGGACTCCAAGTTGGTCCTCGGCGTCGATTTCAGTCAGTTCCCCATGTTCACTATGAACAAGCGATAATCTTGCCATATCTTGCCACTTCCTGTTGAAACCTTGGGCAAGCATCCCCACATCCCCAAACCATCTACCGGGTCCAAAACGAAGCATGACCTGAGGTCGGATGCAAATATCACTCCTCGAATCTCCTCGATACTCTTAAATTGTACTTGATCCTCGCAGTATGACATGTCTCAGGCCAAGGTCATATGCCCATATATGCACACACTGTGACATGGCCACATGGTCACATGGCCAGATTTTTTTCCTTGGCAACCCATTCTTAGGCTTGACCCCCTTTCCGCCATCCCCTTTTCGCCAAGGCGCAAAACAAGCAGCACCAGCGAATAGCAACAACAAATGCCGGGAACAAGCAACACTAAAACTCCATAGCCTTAGTTGACCAGCAAACAATGGAGATCCCATCGGAAAGTCGCAGCTGGGCTAAGGAAAAAAAAGGAAAAAACAAACCAATAGTCGACGTTGACAAATCATCGCAAGCAATCGTAAGCATACAATCATTTCGTATCATTTCCATCTTTGGTGTGAGATGCTTGGCCTCAAGTTAGGAAGTTGATACCAGTGATCACAACACACAGGGATGACATGTTGTCACCTCATGTTCCAAGGGAAAGGCAGACTTGCCCTAGAAATGCTTAAGACTGCTTAAGGGAAACATCAAAATCTGGAAGCTCCACCAGTTTTAGAACCTTTTTTTTTGGGTCCTTCTGGTCTTTTTGGTCACGGTTTCCAAGATCCACCAAGCAGCTTCTTTTATGTCCCCAATTTTCCTTTCGCTGTTGTGCTTCCACTTTCTGGTCGGGAATCCTGGCCATGCCATGTTGAAGGAAGGAAACACGTCGGATGGAAAAGAAACACCTTTGGAAACCATCAGAACATGATAGAACATGTCAACTGGGTCAACTTCTGTCAACTTCTATCGGTGGCCCGAGGGCGCAACAAAGAGTAGAAATATCTGCCCTCTTTGTTCAGTAGATAGAAGATCAACTTGGACAATTCCCGATAGAAAAAATCATCTGCAAATTGAACACTGCGAAAACTTCATCTGCTTCAGAATTCAGTATTGAATTGATGTAGCAAGGGTGATTCTACCAAGGATTCTTCCGCGATCTTCCGCGTGAGCAAAGATCATGTCTATGAGTCTACGAGTGAGTGAATTCCTGATTTTCTCAAAGTGGGGAAACCATCAGAGTGTTGACTATGGAACGCATGACCGACAGCACTCCACATCTCACAAAAAACACAAGTACAAATGGGGCTCGCTGCTGTTTCGTTTAACCAATTCTCACCCTGTTTATTGTTCTTACCCACATCCTTTTTTCTAAACAACATACCACATGGTCCACATTCTGTATGGACGTGTCTGAAAATAGGCTATACCCCGAAAACGGCTCACCTTTAATGGGACTGTGATGATTAGAGTGGACTTAGGGGTATCGAACATGTTCAAACCGCCTGTCCCATCCTTTCCCTTCCAGGGGGTGAGCCCATGCCAAAACCTTGATTAAAACTAAAACCAGGTGGACTTCCCCATCTCGGGAAATGTCTTTCCCATCGAGTTTGTTTGCGTTTGGGAACTCTTTCCAGTTTTGCTTGTTACTGCAAATCTTCATGTTTGCTCCTTGAATCCACATCCTTTTCGAGCCATTTACTTTTTCGTTGATGAAATACCCTTCTTGCTGTGTTAATAAAGCCCTTCTTGTGGCCTGCAGTTCAACTGCTTGGGTGGGTTAAACAACCACTCCAAGCCCAACTTCAGAAGAGCATCAAGAAGACCAAGAAGAAGGACGCCAGGGTCGTGACATAACTCACGACATATGACCATGCCACCTGTGGGTCAGGGCGGCCGGCCCTGGGTTTTTCAAAAACATCGGATTCATCGGCGATGCATCGGATGAAGTGGCGATTTCCCCATGAGGTGAGCCATCCCAGCCATCCTAGCCATCCCACACAAAAGGCCCACCGTGCGGCGAAAGGCGTCGGAATCGGTCTCAAAGTTCCGCACCTCAGATTTGAAAACAGACCCCCTAGGAGGTACACCCACAGGGGTCAATATGGGTTCAATATGGGTTCAATCGGGGTTTAATATGGTTCAATGATGGTTTAGTAGGCGTCAAGAAACTGTTTGGCATGCCATTAGCTGGCCAACACACCGTCCCAACCGTGCGCAGTAATGATGGTTTAGTGGGGGTTGTGGGGTTTACTTATGGGTCGAGGTTGCTTCCTTCTGAGATCCAACTTATATAAGTACTGGGATCCATGGCAAAAACCACTGGCTTGATCCCGCACTTCAGTGCGGTTCCCCTGTCCTCGTTCCGTCCCAATTACTGATACGAAATTCAAAATGAAAAAACATGCTCTAACCACCACATATATATTGTTTCACACGTCTATGCTTGATGATGCCCTCATGTACGTTAGAAGAGATGTATATTGTCTATTATATATAATACACGTCCTGTACAATCTTAGAGAACCTTAAGATTGTTTTTTTCTAGTGGAAAATGATACTCTTAAATACTATAATATTCCTCTATTTAATATTTGTGACTGAAAAATAGCAATTTCCCAGCCGTTCACCGAGGCTTGCCGAGCTTTAACCCTGACAGGTCCCACATCGCTGAATTGCGGGCTGGATCTCATACGGCACTTGCATACCAAGTGACGTCGGATAAGTTCGGATGGAAAAGTGCGAAAATCTGATTACCTCAGACAAAATCCATCGCCTGACAGAGACCCGGTCCCCCACAATGCTGCCATTGGATGGCGTTCATATCTGATTCATGTTTCAACCTCTCTGCAAATTATGAAGTAAATTGAAGCAAATAGATATTCTTGCAAATAGGGAGCAACTACCATGATGGTATATTAATTTGACAAAGTATTTATATGTACCGTATATATATATATATATATATGGTCACCGACAGAATTATGGAAAAAAAAAACGTTCAACTTAGACAGGCGGCGCCTGCGTCCGATTTTTCCATAATTAGGTTTTTCCCCATAAGGGTTCAAAATATCCCGGAAGTGATCCGAACCTTTTTTGTTCCATAATTCTTGGAGGTGGCCATTATTTCCATAATTGTTTTTTCCTGTAAAATCAGGGGGCTAGGGCAGATTGACCGGTTTTTCCATAATTATTTTTTCCATAATTATTTTTTCCATAATTATTTTTTCCATAATTAATGTTTGGGGCTCCACCTGTTGGACATGTCACGGATCCACAATTCAAACCCCTTTTTTGGGGGGGTTATGGAAATATGTATGCAAATGCAAGTATGTAGTATCAACACACTTGGTGGCTTGGCAAAAGGATACATCCCGCATATGTATGTACGTACAACAATGAGTTTTGGTGGTGCAATTGTTTTTCCTTTGTTGGTACCACTATGGAAGACTTAGGGGCATATACCAGATCTTTAGACACATATTTTCTATAATTCACTATTCCCCCTTAAAATGCATTCAAATTGCGAATCGATGGACATACAGTCACCGACAGAATTATGGAAAAAAAATAATGGAAAAAATAATTATGGAAAAAAAAAGTTCGTAACTTTTCTATCATAGACAGGCGGCGCCTGTAAATTGAAACGTTTTTTTTTCCATAATTCTGTCGGTTCCTGTATATATGTTATACATACATGTCAGCATGTAGAATACATACATGTAAGGCTACCCAAACATCAGCCACATCTCATTGACTCTTCCCACCAAATGCGCCACATTGCTGATGGCTGTGCCAAAAGGAGCACTTGCTTGCGTCACCTCAGCCGCGCTGAAGGCACCCATAGGTGACTGAGTTGACTTGCCCGGTGCCGGGGATGATGTGCTGAGAAAAAAAAGTGTATAGAGATTATGGAGATGTCGGAAATGCTGAACTCGTAAATGATATCACGGATTCTACCTGGACCATCTGGAACATTGGATCATATTGAATCAATAATCGATGCGACGGACTTCTGGACTTCTGACTACTGGGACCTCGCGAAGACTCGTGCGGTCTTTAAAGGATGTCTTCCTCAACCATTCACAAACGACCAACATTCGGGTCGAGAGAAGAAAACACCGAAATCCAGAAATCAGACTTAAAACATGATGAAACACATATATACCATGTTCTTGATCAATAGTCATATCAAACATCATATTATATATAATTATAATGATGATGATATATAATTATATATATGTATATTGATGATGATATATATATATATAATTATATAATTATATTTAATTATATATAATTATATAATTATATTTAATTATATATATATATATCATATCATCATGATATCCATTTTACATGTTGTTTTTTACAGATCTTCACCGTCCCAGTGGCCGTGCCCATGAGGCCGATGGATAATCCTCGAACACCGGTGATTTCATCGCGGCTACCCGCGGCCCGGTACCCTCGAAACGTTGATGGTTTGTGGTTGATATAGATTATATATATATGGTACCCCCCCCAAAAAAAAACTATATGAATATTGTACGAATATATATATATATATGATTATATATATAATGATACAGTGTAATTGATGATATATGATGATATATGATGATATATGTTGATATAGTAACTGATATGGGTAATTAATTTTCATGATAATTATGGAATCATATTGACTGATATTTGCTTGATATTGGTGAAACCTGGTGAACATTTACTAGACATTGGATGATTAAACGTTCATGTTCCGAAGACATCTCAAGCAATCCGAGGTTTTAAAGAATAGTCCATTTTCCCACTTACAGCGGTTTCAGCGTCATATCCTCAGTGCATACCCTTTGTTCATGGAGTAATACCCGAAGAACATGTTGCTCAATTTCGATCCATACCCGCATGCCGCCCATTATTGTTGGCTATACCTCCAGGACTCCACGATTGACGCTTGTATAAACTGTGTCAAACATACCGATTCTCATGTGTTTCGTGGTTACAAAATGTTACAAACCTTGATCAAACATGAGGGCCATCAGGGTCTCAAAGTCGGATCAGAAACGAAGCCAAGCCATCAACAACTAGTCGCTCAAAGGTATTGGGTATTCATTTCCAGTACGCGACCCTGTCAATGCCCCCCACGGTCAATATCTCCAGTCAATACTCTGCCGTCAATTGGGTTGCATTCCCATGATGTACCCACAATGGTTCCCTTGTTGATCGAGAAATCTCCGATTGATATGTGTTCATACATGTAATTAATCTATACGTATAACTATTATTATATACATTATAATTAATACATACTATATCTATATAGCTATAATTATATAATATTATGGGTCAATGGATCATTGATAAATTATGGATCAATCAGAACATAACTCATTGGTGGAAGCTGATTTCCCAGTCCTTCTCGACCTGGTTCAGCCATTTCAATCAGCACCAAACCTACCGGAAAACATCCAAGTCCCACGGGAAACGTACAAGTGGGGAAGATCGCCTTAGACTTCGATTAAAAGCGTGATTCCACCATACTTATCTAAGATTATCTAAGATCTAAGTATATTATTTATAAACTGGCTTTTCAACATCCTGATCATGGTTCAGCTTGGATGGCCTTACCAGAGAAATCTCTGAGGATATGAACTTGTACTTCATATCTTCATCCTAAGGCTAATAAGTTTCGGAAATGAGGCAACCATTTATCAAGGTGCAACCATCACCAGCAGGTGAACCATCGTGAATCAAACCCACTTACTGGGTCGACATATGCGAGCATCTCCATAGCTCATGAGGATTTGTCTGAAAATTTAGGAGAAATCTTTACAAATTCATCCAAATCCCGTTGGTTCTCATCATTCTCCATCTTAAAATACATTAAATGATATTAACTGATATTAAATGTAGTTTTGGTAAACCCGAGATTCTCCATGTTTCATCATTTCAAGACACACCCAGTTCCCCAGTTCATCCGAGTACCATGTGCCTGAGACCAGCTTAATCGCAGCCATAGGTATTGCTGCTAGAATTTCTTCGCCCAAGTAAAAGTACCTACCGTGAACGCTGTGACTGCGTGGTGCACAGAAATCACCAAAGTCACAGTGGCTATCAATGAGATTCGCTGGATACAGTGTAATGACAAACATCAATAAACATGGATCTTGCATTTCTCCATTCAAACCTCAGGCATCCACCAATGATGAGCAGGTCATTTATTCTATTTTTTTCTAATCAAAGGTCTACAGTTTGTGTATTGAATATTGACCATCCCATCATGGATTAACCCAGCCATGACCTCATATTGTTACCAGCAAGGTGCCCCTAGAGCTAAAACATACATCATCATACATCTATACATATTTCATATTATCTTGGAATGTATATGTTTGCACCCGTGGTTTGTGTCTTCATTTTGCAGTAGATTGATTTCCCAGGTTCAATCACTGTGGGTTTCCACTTTCATCTTCCAAACTTGGGATGTCCGTGATGACTCAAATCACCGCGTCAGTGGTTTGTCCATCTGCCCCAGAAATTTCTTGGGGAAAAAACGACAAGTTTTGGCAACAATTTTTGAGTACCAATCAGTCATCAAAATCATCAAACCCCCCAAAGTTTGCCAAGAGAAACACAGCAGATTTCTGGTTCAAATTGGTCCAAACCCTTAGATCCGCCCAGTGGCTGGTTGCGAATAATGCCGAAGACGGTGAGGAAAGCTGGAATGGCCTCGCCATCTCGCCATGCCCAGCTGTGTTCATCGAGAAAAGACAAAGTTCATCAAAGTTCAATTGCCAAAATTTGAAACCATCCAAACTATCTCCATGTAAGGTCATGTATGGAAATATCCCCTTAAAAAATCCTCGTGTGGCAAAGTATCTCCATTAAAAAAACAAACTATTGACTGGTTGGTTCTTAACGGTTCCGCGAAGAAATATGGTGGAGGGTCATGGTGCATCTAGCACTACGTCAACATGGCTCATGATTCCCCCTGATGTGCTGCACTAACCCTCTATCAACCACCAACACCAACAGTAGTTTGAGGTTGTCACAGGGACATGGATCAACCACCTAAAAAATAGGAAAAGTGGTTCGTCATCCGAACAGAACGCAGTTCTGGTGTTCATGGGTCGAGCTCAAAGATTCATATTGGCTTACGATCGGTAAACTCCAGTGATGTTGTTGTTGTTGTTGCTGTTGTTGCTGCTCTTGGTTGTTTGCCAGTCAGTCGGTCGGTCGGCGGGTTGGTTGGTTAATTAGTTAGTTGGAGAGTTGGTTTTGGTTGTTGTACGTCGTTGTGGGCTATTGTTGTTGTTACTACTTTTATTTGTTTTGTTGGTTGTTGCTGCTTGTTGCTGCTTGTTGCTGCTTGTTGCTTGCTGTTGATTGCTGTTGGTTACTGTTGGTTGGCTGTTGGTTGGCTGTTGTGGTTGTGGTTGTTGTCGACGTCGTGGTGAAGATGGTGATTCCTAGAGTCTTGATGTGAGATGCACAGCTAACATCAAATCCCTCTTGACATGAGCCAACTTCTGAGTGGATTGTGAAATACTTCTTCTGGTCAATGACTAAATATAACCCATTAACCAACCACACCAAGGTTTACCACTTTTGGATTTTCGGATTTTCTCACAACAAGAGTAATATAGAGTAATAGCATGCAATGGATCATTTATGTCCGCATTCAGTACATATGTCTAAAC